TTTATTGTACAAAAATATTATTATTAATTCATTTAGATAAAGTAAAGAATGCTAAATTAGGTAAAAGGTAAAATGTTAAATTATAAAATATAATGGTATTTCTTCGTAATAATGCAGATGTTATGTTTTGATTTGTTCAATTTTTTTGTCTAAATTATTTTATTGCATTTGAACTTATTTGATTAATTTTTTCAGGGGTATTTCGAATATTCATTATTATTTTATGGCTATTATAGTAGTGAAACTTTTTTTGGTGATACGGTTCAATACAGTGTTCCTGTTGCTTATTTTATTGTAAATTTATTCATTCTTGGCTATAGCTTTTTTGTGATTTTACGAAAGTAAGTTAACTATGTTAGCTATAACTTAGACTTTTTCAAAAACATAGACACTGACTGTAACATAGACTTTTTTAAATATTTGTACTATGAAAAGTATTGTTTTTATAAAATTTTTAGATTTCAGATTGCGAAAAAAGTTTTACTTCAAAAATATTCAAATTTTTTTTATCAATTTGCTTTGCAAAAACTTTTTTCTCTAATTTCTTTTCAGAATTGTGTTGAGATTGTTATATTAATTTTTGCTATTATTAAAATTGTTGTATAGAAAGACAATTAATTCCGTTTTGACTAATAAAAGACATTTATATTACTAATACTAATAGTAAAGTTATTAAGTATTAAAAAATGCACAATGTTACCTAAACTAAGTTTATGAGTACTTTTGAGTTATTTATTAATAATAAACTTGCAGAATGGCATCGAATGCTCGACAGAGTAAACTTGCTGGTGGCAAAGCAGAACAATATGTCTTTAATTGGAAGTTATTTGCTGGTTGGGATTACTCTATAGGAAATCCTGAAACGGCTGCAAATGATGTGATGGCTAGTGTCAACAAATTCCGAGTTAGTTGAACTTTAAACTTTGATAAATTCAAAAGTAATAACAAAAATGCTAAAAATAATAATAATGCTATTTAAAAATTGAAAGCTAATAATTTGATTAAATTGCCTTCTATATTCTTTGCTTTTATTAGTACTTGTGATTTTAAGCCCAATTTATTTGATTTAATATAATCCATTTTTATTTGCACTTTTATCTCAATATATTTACGTGTAATTTTCAGGAGGTAATTGCTGAATATAATGTGAATCGGAAAAAGAAATTCGAGTTAGTTTTCTAATTTTTGCCTTGTATTTCATTCAGCTAAAAATTTTAAAAGTACTACTTTCAATTTACACAAAAAGTTTGTGTAAATTTTTAAAAGTTCATTCAGGGAATTAAAATAAAAACTGCTTGCATCTTCAAGCTCAAATCTGAATTGAAAATTTAACACTGCGCATAACAATTTTTCAATTTATCATAAATTTCTGCGCTAAATTTAATTTTTAAGAAATATTTTCACCGTATGTGTAGTATCTTTCTATTTTAAATTTAACTTGTGAATTCTTGCCGACAATTTCATTTCTATTCTACATAAGTGTCTTATACAGATAACTTTTCATAATTTTAT